CCCTAAGCCCCAAACTCTCAACCCAACACGTTCAGGCATCTACAGAGATCAGCGCGGGGTTTCTCCACCGCACAGGCCAGCTCCTTCATCCGCACAGGGTGGCTCCACAGCCCCTAGATAGGATGTTGGGACATGTTTTAAACATTCTCCCTCAGCCGTATAAACTGTTAACATGCCCTTTACCTCATTACCTCATTGGGTTTAGGAGGATCTTACGGCATAAAAGTCCCAACCCAGGGCGCAAACCCCAAAACTCTCAAGAAGGCCGAGGACACCCTGTCATTCTTCCTCCCCGCTTTGAAAACCCTTCGGGTTCAGGGTTTGCCCTAAACCCTCAACCCCAACCCCAAACCCCAAAACCCGAAGCCCAGCAACCAAGTATTCACCCTACTAAGGTCGTAGCCCTGAAGAAGGGGCCAGCTTGAGCCCGAACCGCCTCAGCAGCACTTAATAACCCTAAACCCTAAACCCTAAACCTTAAATCCTAAACCCTAAACCCTATAAACCCTAAACCCTAAACCCCAAACCCAATTAAAAGGCAGCCCGAACCAAAACAGCGCCCCGCCCGAGGCGGTTGACGTGAGGCCTGCTTTTCCAGGTAGGGTTCCCAGAGGCCTTTTCTTTCAAGGGTTTAGGGTTTAGGGTTTAGGGTTTGGGGGGAGGGCTTTTGAAGTGGTTGGAGGGTGTAAGTCGAGGGTTTGGGGGCTCGCGCGCTTTAACCCCGATGAGGCGACGAAGCATCTTTGCTTTGTAGACTCTTGGCCTAAAATGTCTTCCTGAGGCCTCAGAGTAGGCCCTTGTTCCCTTTTTTTGGGGTTCCGGCTCCCTTATACCCCCCCTTCTTTCCAAAAGTTACTCGTGGGTCTGGCTTCCTGAGGCCTGACAGATCGAGCCGATCTTCCGGCAGAGGCCACTGTAAGCTGTGGCAAGCCCCTTTCAACTCAGGCGCTTGCTTGTGCATGATGACCATGATAAGACGAGGCAGTTCAGCTAGAAGTCATGGGTGAGTCTTGTCCTCTATGCCCAAGCCAGTTCCAGCAACGTGCTTCCGATGCTTAGTCAAGATGCCGATCGAAGCCTGTGTTGGCTTTGCAGCAGCTGTTTCAACTGGCTTATACCCCAGATAGAATGGACCCCCCAAAAGGGTACCCCTATTTTCGAACCTCCCAAATATGTCTGGTTGCCGACTCATCTGCAGGTCAAGCGGTTCTTTCTCCTAGCGCGATTGCCCTCGCCCTGAACTCCAGACCCCAACAGCCCGAAAGTCTGCACAGGTTTTGGACCTGCCGGGGGCTTACAGACGGCTTTCTCGCCGTGTGGTACAACGAGCTACCGGTTTGGGTGTGGGGTTTTGATCGCTAAACTTCAGTACTTCAGAGTCCAAAATGCCCAATCCTGAGCCCTTCGCCGCCAAGGCCCAACGAATTCCCACTACCCGCCCTCCATCCCTTACGGCTCCGGGTCCCAAACCAAATCTTCCCCTACACCCCTAAACCTCCAAACCCCCCTAAACCCTAAACCCCGAAAGCCCAAACCCCTAAACCCTAAACCCCTAAACCCTAAACCCCCAAACCCCCAAAAAAAACTCCTGTGAGGCCGGAGGACTGGGCCCACGAAGCCGACCTCGCCCTGGAGCCGGGCGATCTCAATGAGGCTCCTTGTTGGGATCTAGGGTTTGGGGTTTAGGGTTTAGGGTTTGGGCTTAGGGGTTTAAGGTCCGGAGTTTTGGGGGCTTAGGGGTTCAGGATTAGGGTTTGGGGTTTAGGGTTTAGGGTTTGGGGGGTTTGGGGTTTGGGGTTTGGGGGGTTTGGGGTTTAGAGTTACGGGTTTAGCGGTTTGGGGTTTAGGGTTTGTGGTTATGGGTTATGGGTTTAGGGTTTAGGGTTTGGGGTTTGGTTTGGGGTTTGGGTTTGGTTTGGGGTTTAGGGATAGAGTTTGGGGTTTAGGGTTTCGGGTTTGGGTGTTCAGGGTATAGGGTTCGGGATTTGGCGTCTTGGGGGTTTAAGCTTTGTTAGTGGTGAGGTTCGTGGTGGAGGCCGTTTAGAAGTTGAGGCTAGAGTAAAAAAGGTGCACAGAAGAAATAGGGGTTTAGGGCTTTTTTCTGCCGGTAGCTCTCCCATTGTCCCGAGTCCCTGTGGCCGAAGGCTTGGGTTTTTCGAGTCTAGACTTCAGGGCTGAAGGAAAATGCGATCTGCAGAAGTCCATTGAGGTTTGCATGGCTCTTAAGTAAAGATCTTCTGGCATGGCATCCATTGAGTGCAGTTTGTGAGAGGCTTTAGGGTTTCGGGTTTCGGGTTTAGGGTTTGGGGTTTAGGATCCTAGGATTCGAGCCCGGTGTGAGGGCTGGGTCTGTGATTGGGTCGGCGAGGGTTGCTTTGATCTGGGTTGAGCTGCTCATATCAGCTTTGGTGCTCAGCACTCTGGCCCTTATTCCGCACCCCTAGACTTCCAAAAAGCCCGTGGCCCTAAACAACACGCACCGCCCTCCCGCCCCATCCCCGCAACCCGAAACCCGAAACCCGAAACCCTAAACCCTAAACCCTAAACCCTAAGCCCCCTCAAAGGCCCGAACTCTTCAAGCCTCATGCCCCAAGCTCCCAACACTCCGCACGACGAGAGTCTGCCAGGGCTTCTGGGGCCCCTACCGTGACATCCCCTCCATGGCCAAAGCCACAAAGAAGGAGGCCGGCACACCGGCGTGTCGAGAAGAGGTGTTTTGGGGGGTTAGGGTTTCGGGTTTAGGGTTTCGGGTTTAGGGTTTAGGGTTGAAGGCGATATTCTCGCAGAACGGCCTTTCAGGTAGAGTGTCAGACTGAGGAGACTCAAGCTGAACGTCGAGCACTTCGTTATCCTACTCGTCAGCGTGTGCTAAGCCAGTAAGGGAAATCGACGTTGCAATGCTGTGCATAAACCTTTTCACTCAAGGTTTTGCAGGGTGCCTGAACCTTTTCCTTTGCTGCCCTCCAGCCATGGCGGGTGGTCTGCAGTTGATACAGTGTTACAGATCTGCCTGGCCGCTCCCACCTGCGTGGGCCGCATACGTGGTGGTTCAGCTGACTCACTTTCCAGTTCCATGGCCTTTGTTCCCTTCTGGTTGCATTTGGACTGCGTTAGGATTGGATAAGGAGCTGCGGCTCTGGCCGCCGAAGCGCTGTTCTGGCCTCGCGTTTCTGGACTGTGGTCGCTCTGGTTCCTGAATTCAATGTACAGGCGACTGGCTGACGCGCTCTCTCAAGCTACCGGAAACCTTGACACTTGGCCAACGATGGTGGCCACTGGTTCAGGCCCGGAGGCAGGGCCTGAGTTTTGTACCTTGAGAGGTGGGCTACGCGGGCTGTGACCCCCGCGTGCGCTCTGGCGCTTTCTCCTACAATTGACGGCGGCCCTCGCCATGCTGCTGTTGTGCATTTTTGCCTGCACCTTCATGGCCCAGCAAACTGCTTCAACTTTCTTCGGCCTTCGTGGAAGTCCAGTGCTGGAGGGTTGGGACACCTCTGCCTGGCTCATGGCAGCAGTGTTCAGCATTGTACAGGCTGGCCAGATGAGTTTTTCCTGTGCATGTGGTCTCTAACCAGCAGCCAGACGCAGGCGAAACCAGGTCAAAACGGAGCAGTTTTGTCGATTGCCTTTATGGTCTACTGCTCGCACGCTCTCTGGATCATCGTGCCCATTTATCTGGAAAGGAGTGGGAGATAGTGGATTGCAGAATGAAGGCGATATTCTCGCAGAAAGGCCTCTCAGGTAGAGTGTCAGACTGAGGAGACTCAAGCTGAACGTCGAGCACTTCGCTATCCTACTCGTCAGCATGTGCTAAGCCAGTAAGGGAAATCGACGTTGCAATGCTGTGCATAAACCTTTTCACTCAAGGTTTTGCAGGGTGCCTGAACCTTTTTCCTTTGCTGCCCGACCCATCCCACCCCCGGGATACCTCTGCCTGGCGCATGGCAGCAGTGTTCAGCATTGTACAGGCTGGCCAGATGAGTTTTTTCCTGTGCATGTGGTCTCTAACCAGCAGCCAGACGCATTTATGGTCTACTGCTCGCACGCTCTCTGGATCATCGTGCCCATTTATCTGGAAAGGAGTGGGAGATAGTGGATGCCAGAATTAGGGTTTAGGGTTTAGGGTTTAGGGGTGGCGAGGCAGTGCAGGATGTCGCTGCGTAGAATGATTGGGGAAGTTCGGGGGAAGGGGGGGCTTTCTTTTACATGTGGCTTCAGGTTGATCGAAAGACAGAATTCCTAAACCCTAAACCCTACACCCTAACCCTAAACCCTAAACCCTAAACCATGGTCTGAGAAGCACCTCAAGCCGCAGACAGGAGATTCTGCGGATCGTGGAGAACTTTGCGCTGGTGCAGAGGCGAGCTTCGGGGCGGGGTTTGGGGTTTAGGGTTTAGGGTTTAGGGTTTAGGGTTTAGGGTTTAGGATTAAACCTCACCCCAAAACTTGAGCCCTCAACCGATTGCACTTGCTCGAGGTGTCTGGTGGTGGAGCTGAGGTTAGTGACGTGAATATATCCGCAAGGTGGCCTCACAAAAGCCGAACGGCCCCCAAGAGTCGATTGTAGGGATTTGGAGATTTAGGAGTTTAGGGTGAGTGTGGCTGTTTGTCTGTGTGTAAATGGCTTGGGCTGCAGATGGTTCAGGGTGCCCATGGTGCAGGGCTTAGGTTTTGGGCAACGCTCAACTGCAGGAAGCACGTCCGGCTTTTCCAGCGCTTGACGGCTACGGTGCTCAGGAGCTTGCTTGCGCTGTTCTTGGGATTGTTCCACCCTATAGGCGAGCAGTGTGGATTGCATCGGTTAGATCGTTCCTGCTGCGGGTTGGGGCTCGTTATTGAGGGAATTTCAGGGGGTTTGCAGAGTTTCCACGTTCTTTCTTTCGCGTGCCGGGGGCGGAGTTCGCAGAAACCCTTCGAAGTGTGCTCCTGCCTCAACAAAACAAGCCCTCCTCAGCCCTTGGGCTGTACAGCGTGTGAAGAGCTTGTGGGAGGCTCCGGGCATGGATGTTTCGATCTCTTTTGACCGGGAAAGTTTTCGGAAGGGAGGGGAGGAGGATGCCCGGCCGAGAAGCCCCAAGCAACTAATCAGAGCACCTCCATGGCGGAGGAACCTCGTCGACTGGTCCGCGGCGGACTTTGCCCTGCTGAGCACCGGCCCCAGTCATTGAGTCAGAACAGCTCTCAGTTTCATAGCACAAGTGACTGATGGGTTGGTTGATCTAGGGTGTAAACGGGTCAAAATTGAGGCGAAACAGTGCCCATGCTCTAGTCGTATGTGCAGTCTTGGAGTTCTTGGAGCCGTCTCGCGCATCCGCCCTGGAATATGTCCCAAAATAGGGCTACCCCCTTTGTAACCCAAATAGAATAGAATCCCCTTAAAAGGGGCTTCCCAAAAAGGGTACCCGGTACCCCCTGTTTCGGAAACCCCAGAAGAGTGACAGAAGGAAATGCACATCAATTTCACTGTTGCTTTCATGTCGCCGCGTGTGTATATTCATCAAGGTATCAGAAACGTGTGTGGTGCTACAGTCTTGTTGTCGTCTTCCGCTTCATGGCCCAAATTCTACCTTTCAAGCCGCCAATCTCCTGTTACCCATGGTCCCGCGCCTGGTGTTTATTCTTATTATTACTCTTCTGTTTCTTTCCCAGGCCAGGCCTTGGCGGAGGTTGGCTGCCTACGTGAGGCGGATCAGACCACGCTAGGGGGAGTTGAGGGTTTGTGGGAGTTTATAGTACAAACCCTATAAGGGCTTATGAGGTCTTAAGGGTTTACATAGGGTTTAAAGGTACCAGTTTTTGTGTTCGAGTTGTCGGGATCGGTTTCGAGGAGTCCAGGTTTTGGAAAGAGGATTCCATTCTGTGTGGCGGAAAAGCCAAGCCATGACCCAGTCGAGGGAGCTTGGAAGGGGGTAGCGTTGGGAAAGGGGCTGGGAGGGTGGTTGGGGGAGCTTCGGCTTGATACATCGGGGTTTAGGGTTTAGAGTTTAGGATTTAGGGTTTAGGGTTTTAGGGTTACCACGAAGGTTACCCAACAATGGGCCCTTGAAATGGCGCCTCTCCAGGATCTCTGTGTGGCAATGGCTCCTCGAGTCGTGGGCACGATGTTGCGGCCCCGGCTGTCACCAGTTGGAACCACCCCAAACACTGGCCTATAATTACCCCTCAGCCTGCAAAGGCAGACAGAAACACCTGAAGCTTTATGCAGAAACACGCCATGTGGCAAAAACCAGGGCCCAAGGGACCCTGACAGATCTACACCTCTGAGCACGCTGTGAACTCTCCTCAAGGCAAGAAGTGTTCAGCTGCCCAGGAGCCAGGCCCTATAGCAGCAGCAGCACCTAAACACTCACCTCCCCCACAACTAAATCCAACGACTGTGTGGACACACCTTGCCGAGTCCAACCCATTTGAGAATGGGGGGTTCATGTTGCGGCTTAGTTCTGAGATAGGTCCGGAGGCAACGGGAAGTTGCAAACCCAGAGCCTTGCGCCCCAAGGTCGTCCTGTGCCGTCAACGACTTGGTCCTCCTCTTGGATGCCTACGCCCGGACTCGGTGTCACGTCAGGGCCCTGTCGGACAAAAAGGCAGACAGCTTCAACGTGGGGGATTTCCGACTTTAGGGGTACTTGTTGGGGTCCTCATGATCAGGGAATCCTGCTACTTGGGTGCATATTTTAGGGGTCCCTTGTTTTCGTTAACCCTCATGTACAGGATTCAAGCAGGCCGGCCGCTGGGGCCTTTTCTACTATTTGCTTAAGAATCTCCAAAAATTAGGAACGAAAATCCCCATGCTGCCCTTATAAGGAGGATGTTTTTTTCATTTTTTGGGGGTTCTTTAGCAAGTAGTAGTTTTGTAGGAGTCAAGCTCGTGTCTCTTGCAAACCCGGAGATCCTCCCAAGGTTCAACCCGGGAAGGCTTAGATTTCAGCCCATGGCCCTAGCTGACTATGTACTATTTGCTTCAAGAACCCCCCCCCCCCCACCCCGACTTTCTTCCTTAGAAGGGCAATTTATAGGGAGTACTTATCTTGGGGGGGGGGGGGGGCTCTTAAGCAAAGAGTCGAAGCTGAGGTGCCCTCTGCTGTGGATGCCATCTTGCAGCAGACGGCTCTCCGCTTGGAGGAGCCGGCGGCTCAGGTCCTTGCGCCCCTGCAGTGTTGCAGGGGTTGGATCTGCAAAAGGCGCTCGTAGGTAGTGTAGTTGTAGCCCTAAACCCGAAACCCGAAACCCTAACCCTAAACCCTAAACCCTAAACCCTAAACCCTAAACCCGTTTCGCACCTTCACTGTTTTCTTCGGCTGGTTGGGAGAGGGGGGCGTTGTAAGTTTCCATGCAGTTTCAGCCTCCGAGGTTCAGCGCGTCGCAGCTTTGCCTGCATGTGTCTTCGATGGCCAGGTGGGGTGTCATGCCAGAAGGTTTAGGGTGTAGGGTTTGGGTTTAGGGTTTAGGGTTTAGGGTTTAGGGTTTAGGGTTTAGGGTTAGGGGTTTAGGGTTTAGGGTTTAGGGTTTAGGGTTTAGGGGGTTTAGGGTTTAGGGTTTAGGGTTTAGGGTTTAGGGTTTAGGGTTTAGGGTTTAGGGTTTAGGGTTTAGGGTTTAGGGTTTAGGGTTTAGGGCTAGAAGCCCCTGAGCCTGAGGATGACAAGACTCCTCAGTAGCCCCTTTAAAACCAAAAAGGTCGCCCCTTTTATTCCTAGGTTACTCCTGGTTCAAGACAAGATTGGGGAGGCTTGCTTCGGACCTCTCCCTCTCTCTCCTCTCTCTCCTCTCTCTCTCTCTCTCTCTCTCTGTCTCTCTCTCTCTCTCTCTCTCTTCTTCTCTGCATCGTTCCTCGGCCGTGATCTCTCCACTCCCCACGGAGCAGCTTCCGGTGCGCCTTGTTGCAGGCTCAACATCTGCAACGCCAGGCGCTGAGCACGCCATTGCTCTACACCGGAAGCTCCAGGAATGCTCGGCAGCCTCGATGGAGCCTGCTTCCTTTGGTTTCAGGTTGTTTGGGTTATGGGGATCCTGCTTCGTTGCCTGGCTGTGGACCTCAGGGAACCCTAAACCCTAAACTGTTTAGTCCCGTCCTTGGGCTTGGACAGTGCCGATCAAAGTCTGGCTGCTGAGGAGCGACTTCTCATCAGCATTGCGGACAAGTTTGCTCAGGCACCTCAGGGGCTTGCGCACCCCAACCCCCAAAACCCCCAAAACCCCCACAACCCCCAAAACCCCCAAACCCCCAAACCCCCAAACTCCAAACTACGGTCTGCTGCATCTGCGACCCTCGAGGTCGAGATCTCGAAGCTTCTGCCTTCAACCCTAAACCCTCAGCCCTAAACCCCTAAACCCCCCAACTCTCGACACCTTGCGAAACGCACTGCCAGGTAGAGCTGCCTGAGGATGATGCAGTGCTGCAGCTGAGGCTCTGAAGCACTGAAACCCTGAGCCCTCGAGCTCACTCAATGGCTATCTGTATATATATATATATATATATATATATATATCGATATATATATATATATGTATATATATATATATATATATATCTGTAGTTTGTGTTATCAACACCTGGGTCAGATGAGAGCTCGTATGCCAACTCTCTCCCCCCAACAAGGCCCCCACCATTCTCGGGGGAACAGATCTTTAGGAGCCGGGTAAGTTGGGCAAGCCCCCGCCCCCCCCCCCCCCCCCCCACACCCTTCCCCCCCACACCCTTCCCCCCACACCCTTCCCCCCCACACCCTTCCCCCCCACACCCTTCCCCCCCACACCCTCCCCCCCCTCCCCACCACCCTCTGCCATGGCAACCGGAGGTCTTTGCGGCAGACTTGTGGCAGGGCCGCACCATTGAACATGGATGGAGCAAGCGGGGAAAGCAGGGCAAGTGGCAGAAATCGCTTCGCGGTGCAGGTTTGCACGGGCGCTGTGATGGTGGCTGTCGTACCTGGGAAGATTGAATTGGGTCACAGCCTACATAAACCCTGCAAGTCTCATATACTCCAGCCATTAACCCTAAAAAGATCCAGATAAGCCTCGCATAGACTTATAAATACAGACCCCACAAAGACCCTGTGAACCCTAATATGTAAAACCCAAAGACCCGAGAGAACCCTGGAGAGCCTCCGGCAGGCCACCCTTCACGGCAAGGGTCCGGAGCCCAAGCCCAGAGGTTTAGGGTTAGGGTTTAGGGCTTAGGGCTTAGGGCTTAGGGCATAGGGTTTAGGGTTTAGGGTTTAGGGTTTAGGGCTAAGGGCTGAGGGGCGTTTTGTCCACCTCTGAGTTTTTGGAGGGCTTCCTGGCTTCGCGTCGCACGCATAGGGTTGTTCGGGTTGGAGTTTGGGCTTCAGCCTCGAGGACTTCGCTCCTGGGTCCGGGATCTAAGGGTTTAGGGTTTAGGTTTAGGGTTTAGGGTTTAGGTTTTAGGGTTTAGGGTTTAGGGTCATGTTTCAGCACCCAGGACATAACGATGGCGGCGTACTCCTTCGCCACGCTTGGCGGCTCGGCGCCAAAAAAGGACGCTGCAACAAAGCCTTCAGAGCACCAGAGAACCGTAAACCCTCATGTTCAGCAACAGCCGCAAACCGTGAACCCATGCACCAAGAGTGCCGAGACAGCACACCCCTACGCCCAAAGAAATGAGACGACCCCCCAAAAAACACGGAGTATAGGGTTTGGTGTTCAGGTTTTGGGTTTAGGGCTGGGGGGAGTCGACAGCCTGAAATTCAAGAAGTTGCTTCACCGAGTTCTGTCAGAAGGACGGGCCATTGGGGTTCCGGGCTGGGGTTTGGAACGCCATCGCAAGAGTCTATATCCGTGTTGAGGGCCTCTTCTCCTAGGTAGGTTAGGGGGGCCACTAGGGAATAATTCTTAACCCTCTTCCAGCGCTCTTAAACAGGGACCTTATTCAGAGGGTCTATGTCCCCAAGGTTTGGGCTTGGGGTCAACTTGTCGGGGGGGGGGGGGGGGGCTCATTCCTCTTGGGCTGCCGAGGCCTCCACGACCACTGCGTCTGGGAGACCATTCCAAGGCAGAATCCGTGTCCAAGAGCCTGGCACTTTAAATGTCTGGCGACAATGGGGCTTTACGAACAGAAGGACCCCTAATGTAGACCCCCCATATAGTAGGATTCCCTTGAGGCACCCCTAATTTCGGAAACCCCCCACATGAGGCGTGTCGTCGAAAGCACCCTGAACCCCCAACCCTAAACTTTACACCCTAAACCTTCAAGCAGGAGGGAAGTCTGCGCGGATTGGAGCATCTCCTTGGCCCGTTGTCCTTTCGCAACAAATGCCCATGTCATGAGGCGCGGGAGGCCACAGCACTTCTCCTGCAACCAGGGCCTGATATTTCTAAGGTTTAGCTCCGGTGACAGAACCAGGGTACTGCAAGATTCCTTTCCCTAAGCCCGAAACGCTAAACCCCTAAACCCTAAAGCCCTAAAACCCTAAGAACCCGCCCGGTCAGGGTTGCGGCCCCGGTCATTCGGAACTTCACTGCGAAGGAGCTCCAGACACTGACCGTGGCGGTCTCGGAGGAGTTTAGTGTTTGGTGTTTAGGGTTTAGGGTTTAGGGTTTAGGGTTTAGGGTTGTTCGAGGGCGTTTTGTGAGGTTCGGCAAGGCTCGGAATTGCAGAAGGGGGTTTCCTTGACAGGTTCCTGATGAGAGCCCCCAACCGCAAACCCGAAAAATCTCGGCCTGAAAAGCTAAGCCCCCTGTGACAAATCACGTGGGGTATGAGATGGCTGGCCCCTCCAGGGGTTTCGAGCCCAAAAAGCCTTAAAGCCCTTAAACTTGGGATGCTCCCCCTTATACGAACAGCCCTTAATTGGGATTACAGTACCCCCATTATACTCCCCATTAAGCACTGCTAGTTAGGGTTTAGGGTTCAGGGTTTAGGGTTAGGGCTGTTAGTATAAGGGGGGGAACATCCCAACCTTAATCCCCCATGGATGTGAGGTTTGGAACTCGGACCGCGCCCTTGCCCGAAGGTTGCGCTGGCTCGCGCACAGCGCGCCGATGAGGAGCTGCTCGACGGCATCTCCGCTCAGGCCTGCAATTTAAAAAAAATATCACCAAATTATGTTTTTATAATATCTGTGTTTTTTTTTGTTCTACAGAGAGCTTCAAGGGAATGTCGACCTCATGAGCGTGATCATGGAGTACAGTGAGAAGCGTTGTAAGGTGGACTGGGTGATGGTGGACTCCTTGCATGAGGGCCGACTCGGGGTCTGAGTCCCTAAGCCCTAACCCTAAAACCCGAAAACCCGAAACCCTAAACCCTAAACCCTAAACCCTAAACCCTCAACCCTAAGGGGTCTTCGAACCTGTAAATCTCCAGTCCCACACCTTGCCACATCGTAGCAGCCAGATCCCTGTAAAGCAAGCCCGAAGCTATGAACCCTAGAGTCCCCAGAGCGAGGCCCAAAAAGACCGGAAGTCCTGAGAGACCTGAGCTCTCAGGACCCCAATCAACCTAGACCCTACAGAAGCCCTAAGCCCTAGTAAGCAAGTACACCTCATCTGAGCCATCTTGCCAGAAGCCCTCTGTGAGAGCTCAGCTCCTCAACCCAAACCCAAAAAACCCTAAGATTCTAAGCCCTAGCCCAAAAACTCCAAACCCTAAAACCCTAAACCCCAAACCCCTCAAAGTTTGAACTCCCCCGACCCCCCCCCCCCCCCCTCCATAAACCCTAGACCCTAGACCCTAAACCCTAAACCCTAAACCCTAAACTCCCCAGACAGGCGCAGCGGCGCATCGCGGAGTTTGGCGCCGAGCCCCTGGCACTGCTCCTCCGAGGCGACCATGCCGGTTCAGAGCTTAGGGCATTTTAGGGTTTAGGGTTTAGGGTTTAGGGTTTCGGGAGATTTTTTGGGAGCTCCGTTGAGGGATAGGGCCTGAAGAGTTAGGTTAGGTTGGGGCTTCAAGGCGTTGAAAGGTAAACAGGGCCCCGAAGCCCGAAACCCTAAACCTACATGGGGGTTTTGGATACCTTATGTTCCTGCCTTCGCCATTCAGGGGCATTCAGGGGTTTAGGGTTTAGGGTGTAGGGTTTAGGGCAAAACAGGACCTCGGGTTGCGAGTGGCTTGAGGGGGGGGGCGGGGGGGGCGGGGGGTCACCTCGAGACAACGGACATGCCCAGCCATTGGCAGCAGTGCACCATGTTGATGCATTGGGATGTTCCCCCCTTAGACAGTCCTTAACAGTGATATTCGTACCCCCTAATCATCATAACAGTCCTTACTAAGGATTCTAGTACCCCTAATTCTTTTAATCCCTGTTCGTATAAGTGGGAACATCCCAATTTCTACATTGTGTTACCCCATGCAATGTCCGCAAGGTCGCCTTTGATGTTGTTCACAATGTCAGGGCCCATGCTTTTGAGAACTCGTTTTCGCGCTTAAATGGATTGGTGTCGAAGGTCCGTGATCAGTGATGATCATTCTTGGCATCTTGACCTTCCACACCGTGCTGTCTTTTTGTTTATGCTATTTGCCTTGTTGACCCTATTCCCCGTTGACATACAGTAGAATCTCGCAGCTACCAAAGAACGTATAGTCCAGAAGCTCTAGTCAGCCTCTCCGGGCACCATGTCACCGAAGGAATCGAGGCCAGCAGTTTGCGGCCGCTGTGAGATAAACAACCTGGACTCCCGACAAAAGCCAAACAGCCAGCCGTTTGGTGCACCCATAGAAACACGAAGCTTCCCAAATCCCTTCAACCCCAAACCCTGAACCTTGGAACCCCCAACGCCCGAAGCCCTAAATAAACCCTAAACCCTAAACCCTAAACTCTAAACTCTAAACCCCAAACCCTAAACCCTAAACCCTAAACCCCTAAACCCCTAAACCCCTAAACCCCTAAACCCCTAAACCCCTAAACCCCTAAACCCCTAAACCCCTAAACCCCTAAACCCTAAACCCTAAACCCTAAGCTCTAAGCCCTGCAGCAAAAAGCAGGTTTCGCCTTCTTGGGTCGCGCCAACGACCGGATCTTCACACGGGCCGGCTTATAGCGGTTTGCCTCAGGAATTTAGCCAGGCGAAATGGAGTTGAACTGGGGAGCCCCAATATAGGACTGCAAGAAGGTGCCCCTACTTTCGGAGACCCCCATATGCTGCGCTCTAAATATGCCCTGAAACTATTATGATTCCGATTCACAGTTTGAAAGCCCCAGGCTCACTTGCAGAGTTGAAGTCTCTCGCGTGGGACGGTTAACCCAAGACCCCCTCACACAACCCCACCCCGAAAGCCCGACATATGCAGAGCTGTTTGGCTGAGTGGGCCTCTTAGGGTGTGTTTAAGCGGGAACCCTAAACCCTAAACCCTAAACCCTAAACCCTAAACCCTAAACCCTAAACCCTAAACCCTAAACCCTAAATCCTAAACCCTAAACCCTTGAGTTTCCTGACGCCGAGCAGGCCCTGGCTCAGCTACCCCGTGCGCTCCTTCCTGCGCGGCCCGCGGACCTCGTCACTGTGCTCGGAGCCTTCGTGGCTGCTGAGGCAGGGTTTAGGGTTTAGGGTTTAGGGTTTAGGGTTTAGGGTTTAGGGTTTAGGGTTTAGGGTTTAGGGTTTAGGGTTTAGGGTTTAGGGTCAGGGCTTTGGGTTTAGGGTTTAGGGTTTAGGGTTTAGGGTTTAGTCCTCTTTGTGCTTCGGAGGTTGTAGACCTACAGTAAACTCCGCAAAGTTGGAACATCCGTATCCCCGTACCCCAAAAGGTATACTAAAGGGAATCCCAGCTCCAATCATCCTCAAGCCATGTTCCAACTGTCTGGAGTTTACTGTAAGCATTCAAAACCTTCAGCTGAAACGCACAGCTTACATAGTTCCACATGTGCCGTTCATGTGCGGTTCTTTCTCGGTGTGTTGTTTCGGGGTTGTTCAAAGATGGATGTTGACAGGTCGTGGCCTTTTACGCGAAGTGCAGCAAAAGGGATGGTCCTTTTCGGTACCCCAACCTACAAGCAACCTACGAGGAGCATACTCTTGCAAAATATTTTGAGAGAGAGAGCCCACCAGGACACACGAGATAGATGGACCCTGGACTGCCCAGATCGTTAGGATGCGCAGCGCAGCCACCACCCGTGATAGATTCTGCAGCCTACATGCAGCACACCCAAAGTAAGGGCATTCGAACACCGGGGCCAGAATTCCAAAGTGCACTGAACACTTCCTGGTATAGGAACCTCTCCAACCCTAAACCCTAAACCCCAAACCCATTGAGCCCATTGCACAAAGGGAATCCATCAGAGAAGGTCCGCAGCGCTTTTCTCTTCGACCTGATCACGCCGATGATCCTGGAGAAGGCTGTTGGCATTCGGTTTAGGGTTTAGGGTTTAGGGTTTAGGGTTTAGGGTTTAGGGTTTAGTGTTTAGCACGAGGACCCGGAGCAGGCCCTTATTTCCTTTTTTTAGGGTTGGGTTCCTTTTTAATCCCCTCAAAACCAAAAAGGATTCCCTTTTCATTCCTAGTTTACTCCTGGGTCTAGAATAATACTGGCATTGACAAGAATATGCGAAGCAATATCGGTTTCAATCGTCATTCTGGAAAGCTTCGTCCAAACGTATAGATGTTTCGACGAGTGGATGCCCGGCGAGTTGGAGTAAGGATGGGCGGGGGGGGGGGGTTCCCTAACCCTAAACCCTAAACCCTAAACCCTAAACCCTAAACCCTAAACCCTAAACCCTAAACCCTAAACCCTAAACCCTAAACCCTAAACCCTAAACCCTTTGCCGTGGGCTGCACGAAGTTCAGCGATCCAACCGGCATAGAAATTTCAGCAACCATGACAGCACGAAGACTATTGCAGCGGCATTGGTAGCAGGCCGAACAGCACGTCTTCTTACAGGGGCCAGTATTCAAACTTAGATCATCGCCGTAATGTAGGGGTCAGAACAATTGCTAATCGTATTCCCTCATGGTCCTTTTGTAAGTATACCATAATGACCCCCAAAACCCTGTTCTGATTAATAAGGCCCCTGGTAGTCGGTCCTTGCCGTTCACCTTGCCGTTCACCCATCTCGCCTTGCACCGTAAGCCACCCCCGAGGCAGCAAAGGACCCCCGTAGGAGCTTAAGCGTGGAAACCGTCCGCATGTACGTGTACTGTGTAAATTCTGGGTTTTAGGGTTTAGGGTTTGGGGTTTTAGGGTTTGGGGTTTAGGGTTTTAGGGTTTAGGGTTTAGGGTTTAGAGTTTTGTATTCTGCGCGCAGTTTGTTGTTGGCCTTGCGGCCTCAGGCTCCCATGTTCACGGCCTTTGACTGGCTCTGTGCCTTGCGTCCTGGCCTCAGCCTTGCCGTCGCAGGCTTAGGGTTAGTTTAGGGGTTTAGGGGTTTAGGGTTTAGGGAGTTTAGGGAGTTTAGGGAGTTTAGGGTTTAAGGTTTAGGGCTTTAGGATTTAGGGTTTCGCCTTTAGCTCTGCAGTATCGGTATACAAGCAGCTCCTTCACACCCCCCCTCCCCACCTCCGCAGGGGTTTTCAAATTCCACTTGCCCTCTCATGACACTCAGAAGGGTAAGGCACCTGTTCGGCGTATGCCTTGTTATAACTTGAGTACCTTGTTAACGCTTGGGTCGGATTACGCGAAAGACCTTCCAGGAACCCGAAGCACTAGCCACAAACCTTAAACCCCAAGCCCTAAACCCGAAGCCCTAAACCCTAAACCCTAAACCCTAAACCCTAAACCCTAAACCCCAAACCCTAAACCCGAAACCCGAAACCCGAAAACCCTGAAGTCGACCAAGCCGACCCAGATCCTGCTAGGAATCCAGGAGTCAGCGCTTGGGGGGCCCCTACGTCCAAAGTTCGATGCCCGAAGCTTCCCCCTTAAGCACGTCGGGCGCCTTTGGCGAGTTAGCTTCACGGAGTTTAATCGGACTTGGGGTTTAGGGTTTAGGGTTTAGGGTTTAGGGTTTGGGGTTTAGGGTGTAGGGGTCAACTCGACAAGCAGGTTGGCAGCAAGAGGGACCAAGGCCCTGGGCCTTGGACCTGAAACAGAGAGTGCCTAACCCTAAGAAGCCCGAATCCGCCGAGCGGGACCCCGTGGTCCAAGGCAGCTACGCTGCAGCTGGCCAGGTTCGGCGAGGGCGGGTTGGGGGGATCTTGTGTTGCTCAGGTCCTCTGCACAACTTGGGGTCTGGGGATGAAGGAGGAATCCCAACAAGCCCTGACGTGTGAGGCAGTTTACGCGTGAATCAGCTAGGCTGCGTGGTTGAAGCAGCACGGCCCCTTTGTAGACGTACAGGGGAATCATGCAGAGGACTGCCCACAAAACACTAGACTCACTAGACCTTACTCAGGGTTGAGTATTGGGCGAAAGAGCTGAAGAAAACTTGGACCTCTGCTTTCCCGAAGGGACGAATTGAAGGGCTCTCAGATTTTTTGATCTGGACAGTATCGTCCCCTCCGTTCAGGCGTCTTAGGAGCCGGGCAGCAGGGCCCGCTGCAAACAGGTCGTCGCGAGGCCCAAAAAGATTTGGAAAGGCATACAGTACTCTACGAAAGAACGGCCATCAGAAGCGCGATCTCTTGGCTTCCCCTGGGTAGGCCGATCAGATGTTCTTGTCCGCCTTCGCACTGCACTGCAAGGCATGCCTGTAATACAGAAGCCGAGGTAGTTCACAATACTATCCCTGACGCCCCCTATCTTCGTGCGAACGAACTACCTCTAACACACCCATTCTCATGAACCAGTCCCCTATGTTACCTAACCCTAAACCCTAAACCCTAACCGCGAAGGCTTATGGGGCTTATTGTGGTGTGGGAATGCACTACGTGCCCCCATGCCCGAGTCAAATTCTGGCATTGCTTCGAAGATCCATCGACACGGGTTTGGGGTTTAGGGTTTAGGGTTTCGAGTTTGGGTTCAAAGATTCGTTTTTGGTAGGACCGTGAGGTTTGGCGGAGGGGGCCCGCGTGGTCTATCAACTAAGAACTTGTTATGCCCAAAAGGTTGGAGCCCAATAAACGCAATAAACCCAATAAACCCAATAAACCCAACAAACCCAAAAAACCCAATATGCCCAATAAGCCCAAAAAACCCAATATGCCCAATAAACCCATAAAACCTACAACCCCAAACTCTAAATCCCTAAGCCCCCTTAAGATCTCTGTGGAGGTTGGCGGTTTTTCCCAGCCACTGGGGACAGGTGATGTAAGCATTAACCCTCTCAACTCGAAGCCTCCGGGACTCTGGACCCCAAGCATGAACCCTAAACCCTATATAAACCCTAAACCCTGAAAGCCTAAACCCTCAACACTAAAGCCTAAACCCGAAACCCTAAACCCGAAACCCTAAACCCTAGACCCTACCCCGTCAAATCGCAGAACCCCTCGAGGCCTCCGATCTCTCAGAGGAGCAGCAGAGCCATGCCCAGGCCCTCCTTGAGCAGCTGGAGGCAGGGTTTAGGGTTTAGGGTTTAGGGTTTAGGGTTTAGGGTTTAGGGTTTAGGGTTTAGGGTTTAGGGTTTAGGGTTTAGGGTTTAGGGCCCGAAGCCCCTACAACCCAAATTTGAGAAGTAGGGATGGCGCCGTGTCAATTAGGCCCCATGGTTCCTGTAGCGCCGCCCTCAGCAGCAGGAGTGTGCCGAGAGCTTGCGAGACCTTGAGATTAGCTGCATTCAATCGAACCAGCGCAGGTCAGCTCCTCGTGGCCCGCAGCCCAGTCTGCCATTCATGCTGACTGACGGACAGAGCCATTGCCGCGCTGCAAACTGTAAAACCGCCCATCTGCAGACCATCCCCTGTGAGTTGCGCAGCCATCCAGCAATCCCTGCTACTTGTCCAGCATCGTCGCTATGACAGCGGAAGCTCATGTCAGTCCTCACAGGGCACACATTCTCACGCACACAGGCGTAAGGAAGCAGTATGGGCAGCTCTGTCACTGTAGTCATTGTAGCAGGAGGGTTATGGGTGTGCAGCTATAGATCGCCCCTCAGGCCGCGGTCTAGGCTGCGGCGACACCCAAGGTCTCCCTGGCACCATGGAGACCCTGCTTGCCAGGCTCTGGGAGCGCGCAGCCCGGCAGGAGGTATCGCTCGACTTCATTGTCCTCATTCTGTCACTTTGGCATAGTTGGGTAGCATTTTACATTTTTTAAGGGTACTTAAACCCAATAAGGAATAGACAATTGAGTTGTTAATTTTTATCCCAACCATGAGCTAGGTCAGTGATCTCCTTCGCAGCCGCAATCCTGTCATACTGGCGGGAAGCCCTGTCGGCTTCACGCCCGTTGCCCTTCAGCCCCGAGGACAGAGAGGATGCATCACCGGTGTCGCTGGATGCATCCCCGCTATCTGTCAAGTCTGCGCTGTCAGAAAAGGTGGCTGATACCCAGCACGAAAGCATCCACCAGGCGCAAGAGGTCAGAGAAGAGTTACCAGAGCCAGAACCCGAAGGCTGCGACGAAGACTCGCACAAGAGCATAGAGGTCTGCCTGGAGCGGCTTCCAGGGGAAGCCTGGGGCTTTGCTTGGCACAGGAAGGCCTTCTCTGACCAGAGGCTCATCATCGTGGCCATCGATGGAGACTCGCCTGCCGGCCGCTGGCAGCAGGAGCGCAAGCATCGAGGCCTCCCGACCCTGGAGCGGGGTGACGAGCTGGTCTGCGCAAATGAGCTGGCTCAGCACAGCAGCATGCAGATTTCTCTGGTGGTTGCCAACAAGCTTCGATTGAAGTTCCTGCGCCCGGAGGGCATAGCTGCAGCCGATCTCGCCGCAGGCATTGAGTCCAAAATGGAGATCGATGCAAGCAAAGCCTGCAAAGAGGAAGTGCTCAAAGACACGCCCGTTCCACCCCTCTTACAAACGGATGCCTTTGCAGAGAGCGACATGAACGACCTGGAGGAGACCGGGGAGCCGAATCTGTGGAGCTACGACGGAGTTCCGCGCAACTTTTGGAGTTACCAGCGCCTGCCACTCCGGTCCGTCCCAGGCACCGAGCAGGCCCTGGACCCAGCTCGGGATCCAGCCAGCGAAGAGGAGCTCGTGCAAAGTGCCCGGTTGCGCTCGCACTCGGATTCCCCGGCAGCACCAGTTCGACGAGGAGGCAGCCCCTCACCTCAGGCGAAGCGGCGGTGTGTGCAGGCCTTGGATGTAAATCCTCCAAGCAGTCCGACGGCACCTCGGAGCCCAGCCTCAAGGCAAAGCCGGCAAAGCCCCCAGAGTGCGGTGGAAGGCTTCATCCGGGGCCCTAGCACCGACGCAGAGAAAGAGAGCCAGCTGCTGTCTTCGGGCTCTGGCTCTGAGGCGCGGAGCGACCAGTGCCCCTCCACAGATTGGGAGTACATGATGGACAACCGGGCTCACCAGTGCCAGCCTCTGGATCCCGCTCATGGCTCCGGTGTTATGATGCTGGCCCTCCAGCCCTTGCTTGATACCTCGGCTCCACCGCCCCTGACCTCAGAGGTGCCGGGTATGCCGGCAAGTTCAGGACTGCCAGGTGCAGGGCTCATGGTGCCTATGCAGATGAACCATGGATTTGCTGCACCGCGCATGGTCGCCCCAGCACAGACGGCACAGGTCCTGGGCTGGGCACCGGCGTGGCATGCGGGCGCCCCACCGCTGCCTGAAGCCTGCCATCCGTGCTCAACTTCAAACTGCGTCCAGTCCACGCCTGTGGATGAGAGCGCCATGAATCCCGCTGCGCGGACAGGAAAGAAGACCTACCGAGCGGGCCAGCGCCTGACTGCTCGGCGCTTGCGCGCCGCGCAGCGCGCGGCGGAGCTTAGTCAGACGTTGCCTTTGGGGCCTGCGCCTGCTGCCTCGCCACGCTCGGAGCCTTCATCGGAGGACTTGCCAGGTGATGGGCCGGAGCCCTCGGCCTTAGAGGCCCACAGGAAGCCCCGGCGACGTGCCGGTGTACGAGTGAGGCGGCGGCGCGAACATGCCATCGCCCGGCGGCGAGAGCAAGAGGAGCAGGGGGATGCTCCGCAGCCTCAGCCTGTCGGAGCTGTGCCTCCTGGACCTCTTCCTCGTCAGGAGGAAGATGGCCTTGACAGTCCGGCCGAAATGGATGTACAAAGTTTCAACCTAGGCTCTTCTGCTTCCCTGCACACATCAATGGCGAAGCCGTTGCACAGTCAAGCTGGCGCTAGTCACCCAGGTCACCCAGTCGCAGCAGGCGGGCAGTCTCCGATGCTTCCGCCACTTCGCGAACCCGAGTGCGACGTCATCGGTCGTGAAGTGTTGATCAATGGTTTGGTCCATACGCCGCATCTCAACGGGCACTGGGGCCGCGTCGCAGACTTCGATCCTGCGCAGAACCGCTACCTGGTTCACGCCTTCGTGACCGGCTCCTCACCGCTTTCTCTCAGGCTCAGGCGTGATGCGTTCGTGGTGCCGAAGACCAGCCCACCCAGTCCCGATGAAATCATCGAGGGAGTGTGGCAGCCGTCGCTCCGTATGTAGGATTTTGCTCAGCTTTCCTGAAGTTTCACTGGTCAAAATGACCATTCTGCCACGAATTGACGCAGCCCAACAGGCACAGAAATCAGCTCGGTGTGCTTGCCATGCACGGAGCAGCTATAATATGACACTCTGAACACCGTGCTTTGAAATTAAAGTGCGCAGCTATGAGTCAGCCTAGTCTCGAGGGTTGACCTCACATAGAACCCTCAGCTGCAAGGGTAATTAGGAGCCATTCTTCGGTCTCGATGTTCCTTGTCGCCCTAAACCCTAAACCCTAAACCCTCAACCCCCTTGAAGAGAACAAAGCCCTCAGGCCTTCTATGGCAGAGCTGCCGTCCACGGGCGCAGGTGCATAGGTGTGGGCTCTGAGCATACCTGGAACCCTCTTTACCTACAGTTTTATGGGTTATACCTACCAATCAAGGGTAGCTACTGCTCAACTGGAGGAAAAGGGAGTTTCAGGGTTCATTGGGCATGTTCCGGGTTCGTTTGAAGCTTGAGTCCAGACTGGGCCAGGCCACTTCGTTTCACACCCTAAACCCTAAACCCTAAACCCTAAACCCTATAACCCTATAACCCTATAACCCTATAAACCCTAAACCCTAAACCGGACCCCGCCACATGTGGAGCTTGCGGAAGAAAGAGCCGGCAGTCCTTCGATTCATGTCATGTCAGGGGACCTTGCCGCGCAACACAGGACTTTGAATCTCTAAATGAATACATACATGTCGGGGTTTAGGGTTTAGGGTTTAGGGTTTAGGGGTATATATAGATATATATGTGTGTGTATATGCACATATGATGTATACATGCATACAGAATATTTTTTGCTGTGTCCATCGTTTGTTGATGCCGCTCCTGTACCCGAAGACGCCGAAGTTGAGGTTCCCTTTGCAGGGTCTTGTTTGCAGGGATTAGGGTCTCAGGTTTAGGTTTCCGCTTTAGGGTTTTAGGCCTGAGGGTTAAGGTATTCAGGGATTGGATTCTAGCTCTTGTTCGACAGTGGAACCCCTCCACCCCCTTCGAATTGATGACGCACAACCGCTGCCATATGTCCAGCGATGTGTTGGATTTCAGGGGCACTGGCAGGACGGGAGCAGTACTTGAAATCGCCCCAGCTCTGCAATGAGATCCTTTCAGTAGCCAGCGTTGACCTAGACTTTGCTATTGCAGATGTACGTAGGAAAGAGGAAGTTCACGATGTTACTATTACTAGGCTCGATAGAAGGGAATCCCTGAACAGAGGTAGTCCACAGAACTAGAAGGTCTCGCAAGAGATTTGATCACCTGGCCGGAGCAGCATGACGCTGCAGCTGATCTTCAGCATACGAGGCGGGGAAGAGCTCATTCGGGGGAATGGACACCCCGAACTTAGGCACGTCTTGCACCCTCTGGCGCAGAAGGTCATTCCAATGCCAGAAGGGTTTGTCCTTTGCAGATGCTCTGTGCGCACACAGCGAAGCACGCCTGACTCTTGCGGAAAGCACGGCGAAGTTTCCTAAACCATTCATCACAGGTCATGTCTCCAAAGCCGTGACGCGGGACTTGACGTTGTGTGTGTGTGTGTGTGACGTGTGTGACGTGTGTGACGTGTGTGACGTGTGTGACGTGTGTGACGTGTGTGACGTGTGTGACGTGTGTGACGTGTGTGACGTGTGTGACGTGTGTGACGTGTGTGACGTGTGTGACGTGTGTGACGTGTGTGACGCGTGTGACGTGTGTGACGTGTGTGACGTGTGTGACGTGTGTGACGTGTGTGACGTGTGTGACGTGTGTGACGTGTGTGACGTGTGTGACGTGTGTGACGTGTGTGTGTGTGTGTGCGCGTGACGTGTGGGTGACATGTGGGTGGACGTGGGTGGATGTGGGTGTGTTTGCGCGTGTGCGCGCGTGCGCGTGCGTCTGCGTTTGGTCTTTCGTTGCAATTGGAGGCTTCAATCGCCTGACAGCGTTCGCGACAGGCGTGGGCCGCAGCTCTAAGAAGCACGAAGTCGAGGGTGGGGGAGGAATCCTAGCCAGAGTATTGACAAGGGGCGATACGTGGCATCAGACTGCATCATGTACTACAGATTATTGTATACATATCTATTTGAGAGGTCACCTTCACTACGCTGCAGGGGCTTGGTCAAGTACAAGTCTATGCGCCAGCCATGAACCCCGAGGGATCGCAGGGCTCTGCGATTCTCCTTGTCGCGGGCATCTCACGGCACCCTCAATTCTGAAAAGGGCCTTTTTCGGTTTTTTAGGGTTTTGGGTCCCTTATAATCCCCTTAAGCCAAAAAGGGTGCCCTTTTTATTCCTAGGTTGCTCCCGGGTCTAGAAAAGGGATACGTTCCCCCTTCCACACAAAACAGGCAAGGTGGATTGTGGATTTCAGGAATCTTCTTCGTGGCTGCTCATATGGCTCTGTCTCTGACCCATCACAGCCCGTGCTCAGGTGCTGCTGGCGGCTATGCGTTCACAAACCCTGACGTGGACAACGCCGGAATCTCAACTTAGGTTCGACAGCTCAGAGGCTCAGAGAGCGTGAGACTGGAGGCAGACTGCATACCCCAAATCGGTAAGTGGATGCATCATGTGTTGGGCAGCTCGTGGGCCGAGCCATAGCAGGGTGCAGTACTTTACGAGCTGCAGAGCCAGCGCCATGTCGCAGACGGAAGATGCGGCCGTGTCCAAGATGCACGCGCAGTGGGACAAACTGACTGCGTTCATGGACAGCTTCCGCGCATCAGTGAGGGACGGCTGCATTTCGGACCAGGGTGTGCTGGCTGACCTGGCCAGCGCCGTGGCACGAGCCGTCGTGACGGATGCTGGTGACAAGGGCTTGCTGCCCACACTGAGCTCTCCGACGGAGAGCCAGCTTGAGGACCTGAAGCCTCAGCGACTTGCCGGCCTCTGGGACTTCAGTCAGGAGCTAAAGGTTGCTGTCGAGGGCAATGGCGAGTTCTTCGGAAACGAGGGCCAAGAGCTGCTGTCAGGGTTGCAAGATCTCCTCGCCGACCACGAGCAGGGCAGCTATGGCAGAGAGGACCTTTTCATCCGTGATGCTATAGCAGAACATGTCCGGGATGTTCTGCAGAAGATTCAAAGTGACAGTAGCAACCGTGCTGTTCTCTTCATGAGCTACAAGAGGGAGATCGCGCAGCTAACAGGGCGAATCCGCCGGGAGTCCGACAGCCTGTCGCAGGAGGCTCTGAATCCGGAACGCCGGGAGATTGAAGAGCGGCGTGCCAAAAGCTTCTATCAGCTTCATGAGAAGCACCAGGAGCAGGAAAAGGCAGTGACGGAAAAAAGTGAGGTGCCATCCATCCTGCAACAGCACCTGGAGAGTTTCAACAGGAAGGAGATGGCGCAGCGGTCGCAGCTAGCTCAGCTGCAGCAGCAGCACAAGCAAGATGCAGCTCGCTGTTTGACCTTGCAGGACCGGCAGCGGGAGTTCTTGGAAAGCACGATGAAGCACTGCCGAGCAGCCGAGGCGAGAGCCGATCGCTGCCTCCGGCACAGCGAGACAGAGCTGGACCGTGAGATCGACAACCTGCAGGCACACCTGGAACGCTGCCAGAATTTGCTGCAAGACATCCGAGACCAGCGACGCTGTGCGCAGGAGCACAGGCTTCAGCGGAGTAAGGTCAGGCAGCTCATGGAGGAGGCCATGCAGAGGGTGCAGGAGGAGATCAACGTGCACGAGCAGATGGAAGGCCGCTACGCTCGAGGCCAGGCAGTCCTCAGTGCCTTCGCGTCGTGGATGGCCAGCTCTTACCGTTTCTTGGAGGACACGCTGCTGCAACGGCAGCAGAAGCTGGCGGAGGAGCTTCCAGAGCAGAGGCGCAACTTCCACGCCTTGTTGCACAGCTTCCTCGGCGACTTGGAGCGGCGCCGCAGTGAGCTGAAGGAGGCCATGAGACATCGCCAGAGCAAGATGCAGGGGAAGTTTGAAGACGCTGCTGCCCTGGAGCGGGCTCCCAATCGAAGCCAGAACGCACGCAGCAAGAAGCGGAAGGCTGAGGAGCTGCAAAGCGAGATCAAAGACATGCAGGAGGCCTATGACGACCTGACCCTGGAGCTTCAGGACCTTCAAGGCCTGCAGCGTGAGAGGCCGACAGTCCAGGGCAGCCGCTGGGCGCAGAACATCCTCTACAACGTTTCTTTTGGCACCCCCTGGTCGAGCCCGGCAGCATTGGAAGCCCCGCAGGAGCCGCCGTCCTGGGGCCGCAAGATGATGCGCCGCATCATCGGCAAGCAGCCTGTGTCACAGCCAAGTGCCCTCTGGTGGTCCGCGGAGCCCGCGCGCTCCGCGAGCGCGGTGCGACCGGTGGCCCAGCGCCTGGCGCTGCCGTGGTGATCTTCCTTTATTGGGCTGAGGAAGGCCAGCCAAGACCCGGAAAAGCCCTGTATAAACCCTGACATAGGTTTGCAATTAGTGTGTATGTCAGTGTATGTTGTATTTATTGTATACGGGCTTTGATTGGCTCGTTTATGTCTAGAAATTCTGTAGCACTTGGTGTAAGGGTTCTTGGGTCACGAAGCAGGCAGGCCTGCTCATTGCAGCTGTCTGGCTCTGCAATTCAAAGCGGGCATGCCAGGCATGCCTGATGGATGAATGTGTGGACCTGTGGAGTTCTAGCAGGCTCTCGCAGAACTGTTTGCAACTGGGTTGTGGTGTGGTACGCCCCGCCCGGTTGCCCCCTGCATGTGTGCTCAAACGCCGTGCTCTTGCGAAAAAGTTCCGCCTCTGCCGCTGCCGAAGATGGTGATGCGTGTGTGATGCTTCTCGGGCTGACGGGAAGTGAGCATGAGAGTTTGAGCCGTCTTGTGCTATTGCAAAGGTCTACGATATCTTTCCGCTTTCCAAGCGCGAGCCTCAGGCCCTAGCGGCCCTTAGCTCATGATGCCCGGAGTGATCTGAGAACACCCTGCATTGGGCGCGTGTGTCGCGAAGTCGTCACGTTGAGACCAAGCCCAAGACCTATCAGCATAAAACTGACTGATTCAAAGCCCAGGGCTTTATGGCAAGTATGCAGCACCATACCGTCAATTGCATCGGCACCCTGCCGTCCCCCAAGTGACCTCAACATATCCCGACGTTTGAGTGGGGCATTTTTTGCCCCGACACCCCGATAAACCCGAAACCCGAAACCCCCAAGAAGTTCCTTCAGGCCGCCTCCGTTTGCCTTCCTGAACCTGCTCGGGCCTCGGCTTGGATGGATCCATTGGTCTAGGGTTGAGGGCTTAGGGGGTTTAGGGGGCTTAGGGGGTTAAGGGGGGTTTAGGGGGTTTAGGGGGTTTAGGGGGTTTGGGTTTATATAGGGTTTAGGGAGTTTAGGGTTTAGCATCGTTATTGTTCTGCTGAGCCTTTCAGAGTGCAGGAAATCAGAGGCACCGGAGCTGCTTGCTCCACGAAGGGTGTCTAGAGAGGGCCTGGAGGGTCAAAAGATTGAAGCCCTAAATCCCATAGAGGCCCTGTTTCGGGTTTAGGGTCTAGGGTCTAGGGTTTAGGGTTTAGGGCATTTTTCTGAAAAGGTACAAGGTCAAAGAGGAGGACAAGTTCCAGTTTGAGCAGGACTGGAAGGACACCCGTTCCGACAAACTGGGTTGTGCATGCGTCGATGGTGAGGAGGGTCGGAGGACCTAGTGTCACGCCGCGACTTCTGCCTCAAAACACTTGCGAGGCTTAAGATGTTGCAGAGGGAGAGGGAGAGGGAGAGAGAGGGAGAGGGAGAGAGGGAGAGAGGAGAGAGGGAGAGGGAGAGAGAGAGAGAGAGAGAGTGAGAGAGGGAGCGACAAGCATACCAAGACTGGGACAGGGTTTTGGGCACTTGTGTGGCGTTCAATTGGGACTTCCACCTCTGTGGGGCCTCAGTGTTCTTCTCAATCGGTCGGAATGGGAACACAAGAGAACTCCACTGACATTGTGCCAGTATGTTGGGATGTCCCCCCCCCCCTATACACTGCAAACAGCCCTTAATAGGGATTATAGTAAGGACTGGTAGTATAAGCGGGAACATTCCAACCAGTATGTGGAGGGAGATTTGGACCGGTTGAGCCCAGCAGATGCTTACGTTGTAGGGTGCAGCGTCATGGCAGTACTCCCTCCTTCGGTTGTTGAGGGGCGCGTAGCAAAACCGTGTACGTGGCTTTGGGCTCACAAGGGGTAGTGACCCCACCACAGCTTGCAGTGCTTGAGCGAATTTGGGCTGCATCTGCCTACTGGTTCTGACAGCTCCTTTGAGGCTTCTTTGCCTCCTGGAGCACAACCTCGGTCCCCCGTAAGTTTGCGGCTTTTCGGAATCTGGAGGCCTCTTAGCTCTGAAGCCTTATAAGTTCCTAAACTCCCAAAGCTCGCCGAACGTCTCAACGTCTCAAGGTGGGTGCTGCAGGGTTAGGGCTTTAGTGTTTGGGGTTCTAGGGTTTTTTGGGGATGGTTTGGGTTTTTTCAAGTTTAGGGCCCCTAGACCAGGAGGTTGCGAAGTTCAACCAGCGACAGGAAGGTTACCTTTACACCAAGCGACTGAGCTGCAAGAGTTCAGCTTACACCGCAGCTTACACAAAGCAGTTCCCTCAATTAGGCTTCCGGGATCCCTAAAACAAAGTACGGGGTTCAGGGCATTGGGCGCCCAAATGATGCAGGTCTGTTCTTGCTGCGATCATGAAGCGAAGCCTGAATCCTACCGAGCTCCAAAGAGTGTTTTAAGGGTTATCCTAGTCAGGCGAAGGTGCCAAACACCCGACAAACCGGTCGAACCCGCCCCCGAAGCAGGAGCGCAGGGCTTCCAAGCCCTCAAAGTTTGAGGCCCACAGAACCCTAAACCCTAAGCCCGAAACCGAAACTGTAGCCCGCGCTTGTTGTGAGAGCAAGTCACAGGTGGTTCGTGGGTCTTTGTCTTGTGCCCTTTGTGGTTGTTTAGGGTTCAGGGTTTAGGGCTTAGGGCTTAGGCTTTAGGCTTTAGGTTTAGGGTGCTAAGAGCATGCCATAGCCTAGCCGCCAGCGACCAGCACACTGGGCCGCAGCCATCTGGCTGGAGTTGTAGCTTACGGGTACTCCCCCTCCACCCACAGGACAAAGCAAACAGATTCCTAAATCCTCAACCCGTGTGAACCCTATAAGCCCATCTGCGACACGGACGTACTTTCTCTTGCACCGGTTGCTTTCTCTGCTCGTCTCAGGAGAATAATCATAAGGCGAGGACCAAAATGGGGAGTGGCGGCTCAACAGGAAAGGGCAGCAAGGCGAAGGACGCACAGCCGTCGGCATCTGCCCCTCCGCCGGAAGACGCACAGTCCTCTGCATCTGCCCCTCCGCCGAAGGAGGCACAGTCCTCCGCATCTGCTCCTCCGCCGGCTGTTGATGAAGCAGCCTTCAAAAGCTACGATCCCATCGCCGAGGCCAAGAGGAAGAACGATGAGTACCTCAAGAAGGACACGAAGCAGCAGCTCGTGTCCAGGGAGGAGGAGCAGTCTCAGCTGGGCAAGATCGAGGCTGCATTCCGCACCATCGACAAGGACCGTTCTGGGTACCTCGACGACAAGGAGATCGAAGAAGGGTTGCGCAGCGCGGGGATTGAGCCCCCGGCAGACATGGCAACCTTCATGAAGGAAGCTGACTGCAATAGCGATGGGAAGGTTGACCTGAAGGAATTCATCCGGATCGCTGGCAAGCTGCTTGACCCCTCCATGGGCGGGGCCCTGAACAGCCAGGCCGACTACCGCAAGTGGATGGAGATGATCCACAAGAGCACGGGGTTGCCTCTTCTATCGAAGGTAGCTGGTACGGTTGCTGCCGACGCCGCACCGCCAACGGAGGCTGACTCGCAGAACGTGTGTACATTGATGAACGAAAGGCAGTGGGGTGCCTTGTTCGACCTTTTCCATCCGAATGTGCGGGCGGTGTTTCCCAAGCAGGACAGGTAGCATGCTGACTGATGTATGGCTGCTCATTTCCTCACGTGTGATTGTTTTCTTCTGGCTCGAACTAAAGGAGCGTAAGCCCCAAACATCTCGGAAGACTCGGAAGTTGGCAAAATCAGCAGCTCTAAACTCTCGTGCGGGGGTGTCGATTCCATAGCCCGCAGAGCCTCCAACATAGCAGAAGTGGAGAGTGACAACGCCCAAGCCATAAAAACAGCATTCCACAGACCAGACCGCTGAACCTTGAGCCCGAAACCAAAAGCCGTAGCATAGGACAAGCCTTAACAAGGCAAGTTCAGAAGTCATTATCTTGTACCCTATTAAACAACCCCAAGCCCTGAAGCACAAGCGCCAAATCCACTTGAGAGCAGCTCCTAGACTGACTACTTGACAGCCCTCAGCCGTAGCAAGACTGGCGGGCGGAACATCCCGAGGCCATGAGCCCTCACCGTAAAAGTAGACAGCCCGGAATGTAGGGGCCGGAATATGAAGACTCTTCCATAGTCCCTTGTACAATATGAAGGCCCCTATTTTTTATCCCTGACACGGTGGATTCTAGAGTACCCGGCCCCTCAAGTTGAGAATCTCCTGACAAGGGCTGGAGAGTGGCGCAGCCCCCAAACAAGCAGGCCCCGAAAGCCCTAAACCCCAAAACCCCTAAACCCTAAACCCCTAAACCCTTAAACCCCGAAACCCTAAACCCTAAACCCTAAACCCTCTAAGCCCCAAGAGGAGTAAGCAAAGGGGTGGGAGAGCTGAAAGCCGAAAGCCCAAGAGGCCCTCTCGGACGTCGCGGCCAGAAGCAGTATCAAGGTCTAGGGTTTAGGGTTTAGGGTTTAGGGTTTTAGGTCTAGGCGGGGCCATAACAGACCCACGCTTTTCCGGCAGTTTAGCTCTGTTGCCCTCAGAATCCCCGGTAAATACCGATGTTTCCTGGGTTTCGCCCATCACCTCATCCTCGCAATTGTTATCTAACATTATCCTGCAATTTTTTTGGCATCCGTAGACTACACTGGTATTTGTGGGTTTTTTTTGCACTACTTCGCACTTTCGACGTGTCCTAAACTAAGCCCTGTCTTGCTTGCATCCGCTTCTGCCCAGCCCTGGGTCTAAATAACATGTTTGCTTCACCATAGTTAGAAGAGAGCATCCATGCATGATGACGTCCATAGCCTAATCCGTTCTGGGAAGAGAGCATCCATGGCCCAAGCATGATGACGTCCATGGTCTACTCTGTTCTGATGAGAAGAGAGCATCCATGGCCCAAGCATGATGACGTCCATGGTCTACATGCTTTCTGCACTGCCATGGCCCAACCATGATGACGTCCATGGTCTACTCCGTCCTGGGAAGAGAGCATCCAGGGCCCAAGCATGATGACATCCATGGTCCATTCTGCTCTGATGAGAAGAGAGCATCCTTGGCCCAAGCATGATGACGTCCATGATCTACATCGTCTAATCCGTGAAGAGAAGGTTAAACCTTCTGAGCAGAATTGGCTGGAAAATCTTGCTTTTAGGCGCACTGGCGAGCAGAAAGGCGTCATTTCTCAACACTAAAGGCTGTGACCTAAGTCCTGCATCTCAGGTTTGCTGGTGGGGCCACAGTTTTGCGCGGGTCTGTTGTGGACCCGCCAGGTTTTAGGTTTTAGGGTTTAGGGTTTAGGGTTTAGGGTTGAGGGAGACAACAAAAGCACAGCATGTCACAAGAAAGTGCGCTTCCAGCAGGACATGATCAACACCATGGAGTACTTCATGGCCAGCGGTGCTGTTGCATCCGTCGCGGGTGCCACCAGCGCGGCTGGTGCTGGCAAGCACATCCATTACAACATCACGCGCAAAACCCTATGGGACACATCCGTGACGAAGCTGACGTGGATCCTCGCCAACGGACAGATCTATGGGTTGGACCCCTCTGGCGGGACAACCAAAAAGCCAGCGGAAGAGCCCACAAAGATGAAGGTTGGGTTGTACTTCGACACCAACGCCATCGCCAGCGGGCACTGCAAGTGGCATGCTGAGATCGGTGAGGGTGATGAGTACCTCGCCGGCTGGACGAGATGCAACGCGCCGCACCAAACACACGAAGTTTTCGAGTTCTACCTGATGCAGGACGGCAAGCGGGTGGAGTTGGAGCAGGTTGAGTTGGAGGATGAGACAGGCTGTACACCGGCAGCGCACAACAAAGTGCTTGTCACGCGCGCCAAGGGACCGGGCACCATCATCCTCGAGCAGAAATGGGTGCACTTGCACCGTAAGATCGAGCTTTACAACGAAGGGAATGCCGGCAAGTACCACGTTGAGAAGGACCTGGAGCCACTGACCGAGAAGCAAAAGCCGGAATTATTGGATGGGTTGAGCGACCCCTCGTGGAAGAGCTTCGTGTCCAAGGGCGACATGACATGGAAGAAGGATGAAGAGAACATCATCATGTTCTGCAAGAGGGTTTGGGCCCACATCAACGCCAACTTTCGCTACGACTGCTCTCCTGCTTGTTGTGCGCGGTTAACCTACGGCTCCATTGTGGATAGCGGGTTCGCCCACTGCATCCAGCGCTCCCGGATGATGGCCGCCATTCTTCAAGAGAATGGCATCGATGCCCGCTACAATCTTACCAACGCCCACACGTTCGTCACGGTGCTGGTACCTGGTGTGGGATGGGTTCCAATGGAGCCGACCTCGGAACACATCGACCCAAGCAGTTGCGACACGCCTGAGGCCCTGGTGGCCATCGGCACACCGGCTCAGGTGTCGCTGGACACGCTCGGCGTGTGGCAGATGTTGGTAGACGAGGCAAAAGAGAAGCTGACTAGGGTCTTCGACCACAAGGACCCGCTGGAGGGTGAGATCAGCGACTTCCTGTTGCCCTACTGGCCGGGGAGCTTCGAAAGCTTCAAAAGCTTCGGGCCTATCACCTTAAAGAGGGAGGGCGTCTTCAAGGACTCAGTAGCTGAGTGGGCACACTTGACACTTTTTCGGGGTACTCTATACTCTCCTATAGAACTGAGAGTGTAGCCCTTTTTGTTGTGGGCTTATGAACTCAGCAACGTCAGAGGACCGCTGGATTTGTGTTCTTGGGTCCTTTGCCAACCTTGGGGGGAGGGAGTTCACCTTCCAACTTCTGCTTGGCGGTGGGCAGATCACCGGTTTGCAGCTCGGTAGGCCCTTGGGGCATTTTGTATGTTCCCTTCTTGGGCTTAAGAGGACTATGTTTAGGAATATTTTTCAGAGGGCTTATATGGGCCATCCTAGGCAGTGTGGTGGCCCAGAAGTCTTCGACCAGAAGAAGGAGGAGTTTGAGGGAGCTGGGGCGAAGCCGATGCTTAACTTTGGGGACATGAATCCCGTGATCCTCTGCCTGAAGAAGGGCAAGAACGAAACCAAGCCGGCCAAGTTCTACTACGAAAATGTCCTCAAGGCCCCGGGGAAGATTGTCCTCAGCCCGATCGAGGACTGGAGCAACCAGTTCGGCTTCGACATGAAGTAGTCAGGATTCGTTTGCTGCTCCGCTCCTTGGGCTGCAAGGAGAAACAGTGGTCCTCCGAGGGTTTAGTAGGGTTTAGGGTTTAGGGTCTCTACTGAAATCCCATTCCCACATCCTGAAGACCCCAAGTTCGAGACCCCCAACCCTGAACCTTGCGTTAGGATTTCTGTGCTTTTTAGGGCTTAGGGTTTAGTTTAGGGTTTGTTTTTTTCGGGATGTTGACACCCTATGCGTGCTACCGGGTATCAACATTGAGCTGAGGCCAACAAGGCGGAGGGAGTGAACGAGTTCAGTGGAGATGAAGCAGCAGCAAGAAGCAGCAGCACCGCCGCGAAGCGGCCGGATGAAAACCTGCAACCTCGATGTTTCTCTAGGGTTCCAGGTATGGGCTCTTAATTTGGGTCCCTTGTTACATAACCCTTATGTACGCTGTATATTGTAAGGGTCCATACTCTGGATCCCTGTAAACAAGGGTAAGGGACCATACCAAGGGCCCATGGCGCCAAACTTAGAGTTTGAGGTTTCACTGATTATAGGGTACCTTAGGGAAGCTTAGGGAGTAATGGGGAGTATTGGGGACCCTTGGGTTACATACCCCTCTTGAACCCCGCCTCCCTTATAAGAGCTTTAAAATTGAACCAAAAAAGAGTGTCTCAAGACCACTTTGAAAACCCAAAAAGCTTGTGAACCAAAGGGTCTCAACACCATTTCTGAGAAGTCCAGAACCCCACTTGGAGAACCCAATAAACTGACACACCCTGCAGGGCATGCTTTGATCTTCCTGAGCATTGTCTTGCCAGAGCCTCTGAACCCCAAAGCCTCATGAGCCCATACGCCTGCAGTCGTTGTAATCTTTATCTACAAAAGCAGAAAAAAACCCTGAAGCCTAAAGGGCCCATAAGCCTGTAGGAATTGTAAGCCTTGTATCTGCCAAAAAGCAAAAAGGGCCTTGGTCGGTGTGCAGCCGGACGGAACCAACCCTAAAGCCTCTGAGGTTTCTTCGGGCCGATCCGCGCCGGAAACCCAGCTGTCGCGAGAGAACCTCTGAACTGCGTTTGGGGATTCCTATGCTTAAGATCCCGATCGGATTCATCTTATGTTGGGGTATATACAAAGGCACCCCTATTTTTGGATTTGTCACCTCAAATGGGATAATCCTGGTACTATTACTATCTCTGGTTGTGTGTGTGGGAGGATCGTATTTAAGACCACTTGCAGGGGGTGTCTAAGGGGCTTGGGGCATCAGGTGCAGGGAGGGTGGGGTGCGGAGTTTTTCTGGCTTCACCTGCACAAAGGCGCGGAGGGCTACGAGAACCGAACGTGACCTTGGTCAGTTTGAGTTTTGAGGATTCTTGGGTATGTTAAACTCCCCTAGGGGAGCAGCTGCGAGGACTGAATGGTCTTGTGGTGCCGGTGCCGGTTCTTCATAGGGAGGAGAGTGAGGTGGAGATCATACATGGCCAAGATCATGGGTGCGAGGTGCGGTGGTCGAGCAGCATTCGGCCTCCAGTCCAGCTATTGCAAATGGGCAAAGCGGCTAAACTTACCCTGAATACTCAACCCTTGTAAGCCCTAAGCCCGTTCCGATCTGTAGCAGAGTTCACATTGAGAAGGGGCTGCTTGAAATGGGACAGCCAAAAGACCCTGCCTAACCCTAAGACCTAAACCCTAAACCCTAAACCCTAAACTGCCGACATGAAAGGTACGACTACATTGACATCGTGCAGTGGACCACGGGCGACGCCCAGCGGCGTGCTTCGATGAGGCGACGGGTATGTATGGGGAAGGCCCAAAGAGGGTACCCCTTTTTTTTTTGGTTCGTATTGTACCTTTTTTTTGGTTGTTTTGCATTGTACCCCCTTCTTTGGTTGTTGTTTCGTGTTGTATGCCGTTTTTTGTGTCGCACTGTTTGTTTCTTCAGAGCCTTCTATTCATTGGGGGGTTACTTTTGTGGGGGGGGGTTCCTACTACTTTACCGAGCCAACATGGGGGGCAGTTTAGGGCGCAGGTACTTGCACTTCGAAGGAAAGGCATCCGAGAACAGGATGTAAGTATACTGGTGCCCGAGCCCTCTGGGTTTAGGGTTTAGGGTGTGTGTGAGTGTGTGTGTGTGTGTGGGCGCGCGCGCGCGCGCCTCTCTCTCTCTCTCTCTCTCTCTGTGTGTGTGTGTGTGTGTGTGTGTGTGTGTGTTTGCGTGCGCGAGTCTGAATGTTTCTGGGAGGGGTTTCTCGGTGCACCCTTAAAATGTCATACAATCGGGCTGTAGCAGCTGCATCTGTGGTACCGATGCACACAGCAGCTGGTAGACTGCAAGAAGACATGCCCACAGGGGGTCCTGCAAACGACTTTTCCACAGAACTCTGCACCTTACAGTACAGGAGGTATCTCTCAACCCTAAACCCTAAACCCTAGTTGAGCCATGTTTCCACATATCATGACCATGCCGTGGTTCATGTCCTCGCATACCTTCGATGAGCACAGCTTAGATCAGCCTCTGGTCCCTGAACCCCAATCCCTAAACCGTAAATCAATCCCTAAGCAGAAAACCCTAAACCCTAAACCCCAAACCCCAAACCCCACAAGCAGCTTTCTGATGTCCGAGTATTAGTCTTTTATGGGCGCTGCCAGGCCCATCTATCAGGAGCTCGAGAAGAAGATGCCTGGACCCCAGCACCAATGTTCGGGCTTTTCGGCCCAGCATCCCCTAAACCCTAAACCCTGAACCCTAAACCCTAAACCCTAAACCCTAAACCCCAAACCCCAAACCCTAAACCCTAAACCCACACGGTTGCTTTTCACGGCAGACAAAGGTGTTCAAGACTTCGGGTTGCCAGCTCTTTTGGTAAGGGTCACACACCCAGAGCCCTTTTGGGCGGTTTAGGGTTTAGGGTTTCGGGTTTAGGGTTTAGGGTTTAGGGTTTGGGGTTTAGGGTTTAGGGTTTAGGGTTTGCTTAAAGCCGGAAAACAAGAAAAGAACCATGGCTGCACGAAGTAGCGTGGTTCGCAGTCAGAACCTGTAGAAGAGTTGCAGCTATCTTCATGGCAGGTTTAGGGTTTATAGGGGTTTGGGGTTTCGGGTTTAGGGTTTCGGGTAATGAAGCCACCACTCACCAGGCCCTTTGGGGCAGCGGTACATGGAGCTGTGAGCTTCAATAGGGGGGGGGGGGGGGGAAGAGAGGTCGGAATGGATGTGTGGGTTTGCGATATTCAGGGTACCTTAGTGGGTCCTGATAATCAGGGATCCTACTATTTGGGGGTCTATATGGAGAGTCCCTCATTTTCGTAAACCCCCCACATGTGGGCTTCTTTTTGTCATATGCGTGCGTGCTATGGCTCGAGGGACTAGAACCGGATAGCTTTTGGTAATATAGCGTGTAAGCGTGTAAGATCAGGGGAGATTTAGGGACTCCTGTACCAGCGTCATTGCGAGGCGAATAGCCCCGTTTGAGTCGGCACTATGACCAATCAAGTCGGGGCTTAACGGAGATTTTTCCCTCAACCTTCCATACAAGCAGACACACATATAGGCTTAGGGTCAGGCACTCCCTTGACTATATACTGCGCGGGCAACCCCTTCCCGAATTTAGCCCTTCCCTCCCTCCACCTCCCAACAACAAGAATCGCAACCGGGGACTCTGTCTTGGAGGGGAAGGAGAGGCACTCGGCCCAGGAGATCCTCCAGGGTTTAGGGTTTAGGGTTTAGGGTTTAGGGTTTAGGGTTTAGGGTAACCCCTCAATCCCTGCGCGTCCAAGCAAGCAACACGCAGGCAGGGCGAGCGGCTTCCGCAGGGGGTCTCAGCATGTCTCCTAAACCCTAACCCCCCCCCCCCCCCCAAGACCAAAAAAAAAACGCCCGAAAGTCTGGTGGGAAAGTTCCGCCTACACGTAAACCCTGAACCCCTAAACCCTAAGCAAACCCTGCCTCCTCCCATGACCGACCTTGCAGCTCGAATTGCCATCCTGAGGGACCCCATCACCTTTCTCAACCATGACCCCCTTCAAGACCGAAACCTCAACCCCAAACCATACGTGACATACCTTTAAACATGGGGAATTCTTCGTAGTGAAGGGGCTGGAATTCACGGGTGTGTGTACATATATGCTACACACAATCAACAGTGCCCCCCAAGAAGCTGCGCCCAAAGGTACCCCATGATGTTCAGCTCCGTTGTGGACGACACCAAGAAGACGCCCACATGACGTGCAGAAATCCACGAGGCGCGGTAGGTGTGGCCTCGTTGTCAAGGATCTGGGGGTTCAGAGCCCTAGATCTTAAGCCTTAAGCCCTTACCCCCTTAACCCTAAACCTGGCATGTAGGCTCTTGGGTTGAGTTGGATCTAAACTCCGGCTTTCACATCCTGAGCCCGCCCATCTTCGAAGACAATCTAGCCGCATCTAGCCAAAAGCTTCAGGGAGCATAGGGTTGAGGGTTTCGGGTTTAGGGTTTACGTAAGGTCTACAATATACCCCCTAAGTCGTAGACACAGATCATAGAACCCTTCAACCCTACCTTGAGGGGCAGCTACGTGGGCCCTTAATATGCTCCCTAACCTCCTTCGAAAAATAAGGGAACCCTGAAACCTAAAACCTTAAACCCTGAACCCTAAACCTTAAACCCTGAACCCTGAACCTTAAACCCTGAACCCTGAACCTTAAACCCTAAGAGCTGATGCTGCGCAGGGCTTCAGTTTTCGCGCCGCCGATGCCGTTTCCGTGAGATGGGCGTCGGCGAGCGCTCCGCAGAGCAGAACCATCTGCAATATGGGCTTAGAGTTTAGGTTACGGGTTTAGGGTTTAGGGTTTAGGGTTTAGGGTTTAGGGTTTAGGGTTTAGGGCTGAAGCTTACTGGTAAGCTTACTGGTAGCAGCATTGTCCACAGTCACCGGGAAGCGAGAGCAGTGCGCAGCTGCAGATCATACATGTGAAGTGCTGACATGGTACCCAGCAGGGACTTTGACCCCAACAGTCTCAGAATCCTTTCCCCCTGCTCACTAAATGTAATCATATAGTATTTGCTAGAAAAAATAACCCTAAACCCTCAACCCTAAACCCTAATCCCCGATGAGAGTCTCGCGGCATGAGCGAGATGTTCTCAGCAACGCAGGGAGAAGAAAAATGTCCGAAAGGGCTCAAGCCGCTCACTTCTAGACCGAGCTCTTTCCATCCAGCAGCTTTACTTCCGAGCCCTGGAAGCTGTACATCTCATATGTAGAGAAAATTCAGGACTAGGGTTTTGTGACGATTATGGGGTCCTTAAGGGAGGGGGCGTTCAAGGGGGGTATGCCACCCTCCCTTAAGAGCCCTAGAAGACGAGGTTCCGGTGTGGTTGTGTGCGTGGGTTCAGGGTCGAGGCCATCGACTGTGGCCTGCCCAGTACAGTTGAAATTGATGACCGTGTTGCCACATCTGTTCCGCCACCTGGCTCAGTAACTCTGTCACTGTTTATTGTCAACACGTGTCAGCGCCTTGCCAGGACCGGGTTTCGGATGTCTCCTGCGCCAGGAAACTTCCCAACAGCTTTCAAGGCCCACATCCTTGCAGGCATACATAGATCACCAGGTCGCCCGCGCTCTTCCCAGCATGGCACGTTCACTGGGCCGGCTCCTGCTGGCCTGCCTGGCCCTGGCTATGGGGCAGATGGCTTGGGTGACCATGTGCTCTGGTTGCAGTTTGCAAAGCTGTCCTTGGAGGGTTCTTGGTTCCAGGGGCGCAACTGAATTCTGAGATGTCACCCATGCAGCTTTGTCTGTTCAACCCCAAGTCGAGCAGACTCAGACACAGGCACAGGCACAGAGGCACACAGGCAAAGGGGCACAGCACTCAGGCACAGAGGCACACTGGCACACAGGCGCACACATCATACATACACACATGCACACAAGCACACGGACACACAAACACATGGACACACGGATACATGGACACACTCACAGACATACCCCACACAGACACACATACACGCAACCCCCATACACACACAAGGATTTGGGATTGAAAGCCGGGTTCAACCCTAAAGCCCAAACCCTGAATCCCTCCTTCGAGCTGGCGAAAGGTGCGGCGACAGCAGGGCTCCGGCATTTCGGGAAGTCTCCGTGACAAGAGAGGCACGGAGACCTAAATGCTTAGGCCGCTATAGAACTGCACTTCCCGCCAATGCCCTAGTTAGGGTTTAGGGTTTGGGTTTTGGGTTAGTAAGTCTAAGAAGTCTCTGTCGGGTTCTTATATTGCTGCATGCGCGGTGCGGACTTCCTTTGCAAAGGCGTCTAGCCTGGGCATGTCTGAAATCGATCCAGAGCTTCAGATATCCGTAGAACACCCTCGTGAAAGCCTATCCGGACAATGCTTCAACTAAGAATAGGGAACCCCAATATAGAAGGGCCCATGCAGTAGAGAACTCAGTATCTAGCGCCCTAAACCCTATAAATCCTATAGGCCCTATAAACCCTACAAACCCCGTAAGCCCCACAAACCCTATCAACCCTATAAACCCTATAAACTCTATAAACCCTATAAACCCTATAAAGCCAAACCCTATAAACCCTAAACCCTATGCAGCCTAAACCCTAAACCCTAAACACGAAACCCTAAACCCTAAACCCTGAACCCTCAACCCTAAACCCTAAACCTTACAAGCCCGTCGTAAAGCCATGAGGCAGCGAAGCAGAAGATCCTGAGCCCGGAGGAGCAGCAGGAGCTTAGGGTTCTTTTGCTAAACCCCAGTAGCCCTAAACCCTAAACCCTAAACCCTGAACCCTAAACCCTAAACCCTCTGGCTCTGGGGGTGGTTCAGCCTTCAGCAGGCTTCCAAGATTTGGACTGGAGTGTTTGGAGGGTTCGGGATCATAAGCCCAGGGGTGTAGGACTTGCCGGGGCAACAGCGTCTCGGGTTTAGGGTTCGGGGCAGTTCGGGGCTTTAGGGTTTGGGGTTTAGGGTTTAGGGTTTAGGGTTTGGGGCTCAAACAGGGCTCGGGGGGTCTAGGGGGCTTTCGGGTTTAGGGTTCATGGTGTTGAAGAGCTCGCCGTCGGATCTCGAGGTCTATTGGGCACATGGCTTATGCAGAGTTTGCATGGGCGGGAGGACTCTGTTGCCCAGCCTCCGAAGCCCTAAACCCTAAACCCTAAACCCTAAACCCTAAACCCTAAACCCTAAACCCTAAACCCTAAACCCAAGGTTCACTTCGAAGCCTAAGCCGCGAAGGAGCTCGAAGAGCAAGAGCAGGCTGCCGGGTCCCCTGCACGCTTTCGCAACGAGTACTTGATCGTGCTGGTGGTTCTGATCGTTGTTGGCACCGTGTTCAACCCATTCCAGTGAGTTGCCGGGTTTAGGGTTTAGGGTTTAGGGTTTAGGGTTTAGGGTTTAGGGTATGGTGGTGGTGAGCGCACCTGGCGTGAGCTCTGAAAGCTTTTTGAAGGGCTGCTGGGGCGTTTTCCCTGCGTTGTTTCAAGCAGCCGCCCAGGGCATGATCGTTTTTGATTCATGACTTGCCGAGTGCCAGTGGCATCCGAGCAAAAGCCGCCCCAGCCTCTGGAAGGCCCTGCGAAACCCTAAACTAACCCTTTTAGTAGAAGGGTACAAGAACACAAGCAAATCGCACCACAAACCCTAAACCCTAAACCCCAAACCCTAAACCCTAAACCCCGCTCGCCCTGCAGCTGAAGCTTAAGGGGCCAGTTCCCGCCACACGCCCAAGCGAAACCCTGTAGCACCATACGCTCTACGTATTAATAGGGCGAAAACCCTAAAAGAAGCCCTAACACACCGAGGTAGGTCCTTGCGACATTTTATATTATCCCTTATTGGGTTGAAGGGGGTCATATTCAGAAATATTTATCAGAGGGTTTTACGGGCCATCCCGGCCATCCCAGACAGATTCCCTACCCCTTGCAGCATTTTTGGGCTCACGACGCTTCTTGATCCTGGCTGCTTCGTTCAGCAGGAAGATGTACTCGAGGCGGGTTGAAGGATTTCGGGGGTTAGGGTTTAGGGCTTAGGACTTAGGGCTTAGGGTTTAGGGCTTAGGGTTTAGGGTTTAGGGTTAGGGTTTAGGGTTTAGGGTTTAGGATTTAGGATTTAGGGAGGGTTTAGGATTAGAGGTTTCAGGTTTGGGGGTCCAGCAGTTGGGGCAGGCTTCCTTGGTGATATGCTGAGCTTGTAGAGGACAGAGAAGCTGCGCTGCTTGAATTCAAAACAAATGCAAGCCCGCCCTAAACCCTAAAGCCCCTTTTGGTGACCCCTGTGAACTCTGCCCTCCCCTCCCTCCCTCCCTTCATCGTGCCATCTTCAAACCGTTCAAGCCCCGAACCTAGTTACCCCCCCCCCCCCCAAGCACCAAGCAATTACATCTACAAAGCGCTGCATGGGTATTTCCCCAAATAGCGGGCACCCTTAATATGTCCCAAAGTGGTACAAGCCTTCTTGTATAGGAACCCCCCAAAAAAGGTACCCCTATTTTGGTAAACCCCCACATCTGCAGCCTCCACCACGGTGACCTTTTGAACCCAATCCGGAGGCGCAATTCTCAGGCTGCCCCGACCTTAGCGGCCAGAGCACTCTCTGACGAGTTTCCCTGGTTCTTTGTAGGGGGGGAGGGAATTCGGGCCCTATATATATCCATTAAGGGGATTATGTAGGGTACCTCATTCCCTCATTCCCTGCTAAGAACCAGCCAGGAGTTGGAGGTGTCTAGCTTCGTGCCATTTTGTGTTTTAGAAACTCTCCGTTGTCAACAGCTTCTGCATGCTTATGATCCCTGAGCGCTATAAACCCTCAACTCCTCAAACCCAAACCCCAAGCTCCTAAACCTTAAGCCCGAAAAACTCCTAAATTTCAAGCCCTACACCCAAAAACTCATAATAAACCTTCAGCCCCAAACCCTATACTCCTAAACCCTAAGCCCCAAAAGCTTCGAAACCCAAGCCCTCCGGCGCACATCTCCGAGTTTTCCCACTCCCAGGTTCCAATGCCAAGTCGTGAGGTCCAGCAACATGAAGTGCAGGAGGAGGTCCGTAGGCTGTAAACCCTAAGGGTTTAGGGTTTAGGATTTAGGGTTTAAGGCTAGGGGCTTTGGGGTTTGGGCCTTCTAGGGCTTTTGGGGGTTTTCGGGGGTTTAGGGCCTCAGGCCAAACTCCCTAGACCCTGAACCCTAAACCTTCAGGGGCTTTGCAGGGCTTCGATCTTAGGGAAAGTGTACACGCAGAC